ATTCCAGGTATAACTGCTGAAAATGGTTTGATAAGAAAACATTTTTGTATTGAGGCACTGTAAGAAAAATGAATTAGCCTAGGGAGTCTCAGACTCGAGTCCTTAGAAAAGCCCACTTCTATACTATTTTGTATGTGGCACTGCAGCTGTCTCTGTACTGGGGTGTACCCTGCAATGTTTTAAAAACTGGTTCAGAAAAAGTAAATAAGGTTTGCTATAGAATATTAAACACAGCAAAAGTTTCCTGGATTCAAAGAAATTCAAGTAAAGAACACTTCTAAGAGTTTTTGGAAGAAAAACACATGCTGGAGATTATAAAGGATATCCCTCAGCCACAGGAGTTTGGACAACATGTAGAGTAACATGGTAGGAAGAAAAATACCATGTATGCTTGCCTGATTCCTTTCTTCCCTAGACATCTGACATTGGCTAACCTTGAAGGCAGACAGACCCTTGAGCCTGACCCAGTATGAATGCTTCTATTTTGTGTTTTACTCTGAACATTCTAGAGCTATATCTCAGTCTTTTAAGACAGAAAGTCTTCACTCAAGCAATTGAGTAGACAATTGAGAAGAAAAAGGGTCACTGGTCAGGACAAAGCTGCACTGACAGTACTGTAACAGCATTGCACTGAAGCAGTAATTGCTTATAAAAGCCAGATGTATGAAAGGTGCAATAACCACCCACACTATAACTAGTGCAATCAGCTTTTCACTTTCATAGTCCTGAATCCACCTACAATATTAAATTCAATTAGGAAAGTGGATTGCCAAGACTGACGCAATAGAGGAGGATCTGTATTCTGCAATGTTGAGAGTAAAGTGACTCACAGCAACGAGCCAGCCAGCTAAGGTAAACAAAATCACTTTTTATCTTCTCACTCTGGATCAAAAGGAACACCTGCAGGAAGAAGGAAAATAGAAGATTATACACTCATGTACTTTTAAACAAACAGAAGGCAAACCTGCCTCATTTCAACACACAGATAAGGTTTAAGTCACACAAAGAACTGCTCCTGAGAAGGGTTTGGGTATGCAATTGCAGTGTAGGGGGCATCCCTCTGTGTGGAGTAGGTGGAGGATTCACACAGTGCCCTGTTTGACAAGGGACTTGTGCAGCTTCAGAACACCAAGCTGTGCAGAGGGTGCGGCCTGCCCTGAACAAGCGCCAGTGGGCGGCCATGCAACACAAACAGCACAAAGGAACACTGGGTCTGTGGGAAAAGCTATTTGGAATGTGTTTATTTAGAAAGCAATGCAAGAAATTATATTAGCATCTTCTTGAAATACTCAAAGTTTCATATATAGATGAGACTTTCCTTCCATACATGTCAGAGATCATTCCAGGTCTGCAATAAGCCATTTCTAACCATTTCAGTTTCAGTAAGGTTCTCAGGCAAAGCATTCATCTTTTGGACCTTACTTTTCAAATACAGGTTTGTTACAGTCTACATAAAAAGGGATGTATGGGGGAAGTTATACATTTTAAAATGTATAACTTGGATTTGTTCCAAAAAAAAAAAAAAAAAGCTATTTATACCTCTCTCAAGTATATTTGTAACTAAACTGGATGCTACTTGCAAAAATCAATACCTTTATAGGAATAGATGTATGTACTGGAACAGTGACTTACACAAATTACTGACATTTGTATTGCTTAAATATTGCTGATTCCCTAATTTAGTGGGGGAGGAGTAGTAATAGGGAAGAAATAAAAAGAAAGCAGCATTATCACTATAAGTAGCACTTTATCATATGTTTTATTTTATGTCCAGGGACGTATGCTTTTAAATAACTTAGTAAGTGCTATATGTAGAGGTTTTATGTGTTTATGAGACACTGGGGAAGGCTGATCTTTATGTGGAACTGTTATCACGACCCAAGATCAGACATGAGGCCAGATGAATCAATGTAATAATATAATTCTGGTATTTAAATGTATCACCTATACAACATAAGTTTCTATAGAACTGCTTCTAAAAAATGTAAGAGGAAAAATGTAGATCAATAGGAGTTTAGAACTTTGTGTTTCTTTGTTGCCTAGTTGCTGCTAAAACTTACAGCATTAGCATTTTTATGGAGTTTCAGAAATCAAGATAGCCTGCTAGCATAGTTTTGAAAGATTTTCATGAGGCTAATTGAAAGCTTCTTGAATTGAAATATATATCCATTTTCCTTGCAGTTTTGGATATTTTTCTTAAGGAGAGATGCAATTTTGGGTCACAGAAATTAAGGGGTGAGGGTGCTGGATGGGAGAGTAGGGATTGAGGGGATAGACAAGTTGCAAAGCCAGGGGGGCTCTGTTATTGACAAACCTGGATAGTTAAAAAGTTAGAAAAACAAAACAAAACATAAACCCCAAACCAACTAAACCTATATGATTCACTTTAGACTATGTGGTGTGGGATTTTTTTTGTGGCTTGTCTTCTTTTCTGGTCTTGTGGAAAATGTTGCTTCCACCTTCATAATAGCTATTTGCTTTTGCATATTTCAGTTGTAATTAAGTTTCTGCTGCACACAGACATAAAAAAGTACTGGGTGTAGAAGTTAATCTCTTCCAGCTGCATCTGAATGCTGCTGAATAAGATAGTGAGCACTTCCTCTTTTCCTCCCACATATCCCAGAGGATGATTTTTTTTTAAAAAACACAAATTTCTAGGGACACCTAGAAGCTCTTAACTATTCAGTGTCTTAAACTTAGCATGCCCTACTCAGTCTGAACAAAAAGAGTGCCTGGGATCCCAGACAAAGCGTGGAAAATCTGATTAAGAGGCCATTCTTTGATCAATTAGAGGTAGCTGCAAGCACTCTTGTGATGCACCACAAGCAGCATGACTCTCTGTATACCTCACATTACAAGATTAGCAAGATAATCTTTTCTGAATAGCTCTCACTGAGAGTTTCAGTTCCCGTAAGAAGGGGAAGAAGATGTTCCACAGAAGGTGCTTATTTTCAACCAACACAAAGATCTGGCTGAAGAAAAGGAAGGAAAGAGGGGAAAATATGGGGAAAATGTTTCCATTGCTATTTTTCTAAGAAAATAAATACATACCTCTTCAGCTTCACTAAAATTTCCCATTGCAGCTTTGGCTTGGGCATAGTTGAAGTTAAAAGTATCATTATTGTAGAAGTAACTCTGAAAAATATTGACAAACCCCAAATAAATACAACAGAAAAACCTCCTCCCATGATAAAACAACATTAAAAATACATCCCCCTCACCCCAATCTGAGACAGACCATATAAAGAAGACAATGGGAAGGAAAAAGAAAATCCCACATTAGGAACATACGGTATTTATAAACAGTGGGCAGAAAAATTATGGACTAGCTTTTCCATCCTACATTTGTGACTACAAACACTGCTGAAACATTCCACAGTATTAACTCTGAGAGATCTGGAAAATGTTCCAAGCTCAAAATTGCAGTGGCAGCTTTTGTGGGTATAATTTTCACTTGGAGCATGTGAAGACATGTTGTGCTGCCATGGTCTCTTTCACTTCCCAAGCATATTTCACTACTAGGGTGGGTAAATAGGCAGTTGACTTCCTTGAGTCTTAAAGGCATCTTAAAGGCAATGAACAGTTTGTTTTTCCAAGACTTGTCAAGGTTTGTTAAGAGATCCTGTGCATCTGGTTATGTGATGGATGCTAATTTGACAAAATGGATCTCATGATGGAGGTGGAGCCACAGTACTGGGCTATATCAGGCAGCACACCAGGTAATAGGACTTCTTTAAGCAAGCCTTGCCTACAAGTGCCCTCTCTAGTTGAAGTGCAACACTGAGTTTTTCTCTCCCATAACCCTAGATATGACACATCTGGTTTAGGACGCATCAGACTGAACTAGCTTTATCTTTACTGAAAAGCTACATGCGTCAGAGAAGGAAATGTAACTCAAGGTACAGGTTAGGCTTATATATGGGGTTGACCTGATCCAGTCAGACTGAAGTATAACTCAAATGACCAAAAGTCAGCTGTGCTCTACATTCAGCACTGTTCTACACTGCTGGACCAGTAGAGCTGGCAGCAATACCAGATGGAGGCATGAATGTGATTGAGGATCCCTGCCCAGCAGCAGCAGTGCTTAGGAGAGAGCAATAGAAAATAGATGGTTTATCCAATATAGTTACTGCAAGAAAGCCTCCCTGTGTGCATAACAGCAAGGTGTAGGGAAGAAGAAATGTTTTTCCTTATACAACATTTATAGAGGAAACAGAACTTGTGTAGGAAGATCAAACTTTTGGTTTTTTCCCTCTTTAGAGTGAGGAGGAGGTAAAAAGCTAAACGAAGCAAGGCACAAATCCTTTTCTCAGTATTATCTTCTTTCATGATGTAGGGACACTGAAGAACCTCTTCCTCTCACTGTCATAGGCAGCCTACAAATGGTACTGATTTAGTCCAGCTGCATACATCAAACTAGTGCCTTGAAAGGAAAGGTGAAGGATGGCCACTATTTGCCAAATGTCCAGGTTTCACCCAGTCTATGGTAGCATGCACAAGCCAGCAAATACAGAAAGCTGTGTGACAGCATGAGGATGAACCAATTGGGCTGAACCTTAAGCTCAGTTTGTGAAAACATTTCAGTGCCCTTACACTGAACTAATGGGTTTCACCATATAGGGATTAGGATACTTTACTGCATTCTTTCTCAATAGTAGTTTCATGTGAATCAGCACAAGTCCCAGGTTAAGCAAAGTTGGTGAGCCAGATGCTAGTTTTACTGCGTGAATGCTTTCTTTTGTTCAAGCAGACCCCATTGTATCTTTTAATTAAAATGGAGAAGAAAGTCCATTTTGAGGTTGGTCAACAACCAAACTCAAAAAATGTGCCATCCTGTCCTGGTCATATAAGTGTTAGAGATCAGACCTACTTCAAAACCAAAACCAGGAGAAATGAACGAGTGCTGCTGATGAAAGAACACATTCACAACAGCTCTTCACAGCAGCTAGTTTCTTTCTTTCTTTTTCTTTTTTAAATGACATTATATGTACTGGATGTTTACTCTCTTGTGGTATTTTTAGAGGTCTTCAATGTTTTCATAAAACCAACCGTCCTCTGTGTGATGTCCATTTCAATGAGATGCTCAGATATCCAGCTTAAAAATGAAGAATTCCCATTGTGGCCACAACTCAGTGGAGCCTGAATCAGGTTGTTTTTTACTCAGTTAATCCCTGACAGTGTTATAATGTCACCCTCGGGGCAGCTGGCAATACATTTATAGTAAAGTGTCCTCTGAGACTTTCTTATGCCTAAAGCAGTTTTAATTGATCATGGATGAAAGTGGTGCTTCCCGAGAGAATACCAAGCAAACAATCTTCATAGAGGGCAGCCCCATTTTAAGAGCTGCAGAGATTCTACGGAAGTTTATTCCTGTGAATCAAAAACCAAAGGTAAATCCATGTACATCTTGCCTGTAACATGGTACAGAAAGAATAATTTTTGCATCCCTGTGACCTACAGTGAAGGGAAATGACTTAAGTAAATCTGAGCATGGATAGTCTCAGCTGAAAAATTATGAGAATGATCAATTACTTCAAAAGGAACAAGCAATAAAAGTTGTAGTAGGCAGTAAATTTTTGTCCCATGTACCTTGGAGGTGGTTTGTAATGACATTTAACTTTGACCTTTTTGGGTTAGACCTAGTGGTTTAAGAACCTTTTCAAAGAAATGGAAAGAGCTAAGCGTATCTGTGGAGTATTTAATTGCACTATAAATGTAAGAAATATACAGAATGAATTCTCTGGAAATTACCATCTATACCCATTGGCAAAAAATGAGACCAGATGACCAGTTCTAACTAGAAATCCAACTTTTAGACGGCTCAAGTAAGGCAAAGCAATTCTTACTGTTAATTCCCCTTTCTTCAATTACACACATACTCCAGTTTGGAGTGGTGGTGGTGTATCTCTTCATTCCACTACACTGGAGCCATTCCAGTGTCTAAAGCCACTGGGGTTTCTTCAAAGGTCTCCTTCCAAAGTTTTAAAACATTACACCTTCACCATTTTTCACTCAGCAGCTACTTTTGGGCACCATTACAACCACAGGTTTTTCTTCAGATCTCATACTCCTTATAACACTGTAGTTATACTCATCTTGTGTATCTCCCAATTCTTTTAATAATTTAAGATTCTCATTCCTCTTCCTACCAAGCAGAGTTATTTCAACTCTACTTTCAAACCAGTGAAACAAGACTGCAGTAATTTAATCCATAATCACACTCCAGACTCCCTCTTTCCTCACGTCTGCCTTTAACTGTGTATCTATAAGTTATACCCATTCTATCCACTGATCTGATAATGCTGCATGATGTTGACTTCAAGATTCTCTTATTTTGAAAAATGAAACATTGTCTGCAGGATACTCAGATAACTTCTGCAAAAATAACATTCCTAATTTACTGCTTTGGTAATTCTGCCCTATTTTAGTCCTTCAGTGACTGTTTTCTCTGTAAAATGTAAATGTTATTCCTTTTAGAGTCCTTCATGTCCTATCTTCCTTACACACTCTTGTTTACTAAAATGTTGTCCTCATTAACCACTTATTACCATTATTAACCAGTGACAATAATCTCCATCACTCACTTGATAAGTCTTAAGAAAACATTTGGGTTTTTTTCCTCCATGCTGCCCACCCCATAAATATACACTTTTTAAAAAATTTGCTTCCTTTAATTATGTTTCTTATCTTCTGTGATGCCACCAGAAAGACTGATAATGGTTATATTAAAAGTGTGATGAGTCCATCATGCCCACCATGCTGCATGGTACTACTTTCTAAATTGCTTCTTTACATTTTAATCCACTTACTGTACTGACCACTTAGGTTCCACTATCACTCCTGTATTTTATTTTTACTGCTTTGTTTTTGTATCTTTTTATGTTTCCATTGTGTCTCACATAGTACAGTCTAAAAGTAGTGATTCCACACATTACAGAACTATCAATACTAAATAATAATACTAACCTTGATTGAGTTGAGGTAAATTAGGACATTAGGAAATTGTCTAAGAAGAAAGAAGCAGGAGGACATGCACTGTCTCCCTGGAATGGTATCTAAAATTCAAAAGAGAAATGCAAGATTTGTAGAATTTAAAAACACATGATTATGGAAATCACTGCCAAGACTACTGGCACCTATGAAAGCAGCTAGTTTCTAAAAATAGTGTAGCTTGCCTTTTCAGGCAAAGGACCATACTAGAGGTTAGGAAAAAAAAATTAGTTAATCTTGTCAGTTCTCTCTACAGCATCCAGTAACTTTTGCAAGACTTTGTTCAACAGCAAACTCTACAGAGACACATAACAATTTTACCTAAAAAGTCTTTTCCGTGACACAATTTTCATAGGATAATTTTACCATGAATTATTCTTACTCTTAGGAAATGACACTTTATACAAAGCCTGAGTTTGCTATTCTTACAGCATTAGCCTTCTTTCTTCAAAATTATCCTTTTATCCTGATTATCCTGGACAAAGCAACTCTACATATTTTAATTTTAGTTTGAGTAAGAGAGTAAACTTGATATACTGAAAATATTGTTATACAAAATAATTAATACAGGAAGAGGTAAAACACTCAGTGATATCAGAAAGTATGGAAATTAATGTCCATGCATTTGGAATTACCACATTGCTCACAAGAGGTGAAGCCATAAATAACTTAGACATATCAGTTCAAATGAGTGTCACTAAACTTTGCTGCTATACATGTCATCATAAACTTTGTACAACTATATGATGCTGTCACCTACTCTGACATTGCAAGCTGTGTTACTGAAAACTATCTCAAAGCTTTTTTAAAGATTCTGAAGTAAGCTTACTAGGAGTAATTTTTAGAGCCAGCTGGCAGACATGGATGAACTGAGGTAGCAGCTGAGAAGGCCTAAATGGAAGTGATACCAAACCACTACTATCCCGCTACATTAAGTGATCATAAGAGAGGATGGTGCTCTGTGCAGTTTGGAAAGGTAACGAGATAAGATCCGAAGGCTACCAATATCCCTGAGGTAATCTGCTCCTAGCTATTGGTTACCATCAATCCATCCACACCAAAAAATTAAAATACCTTTTCTGTATTGAGAAATTTCATGTAATAAAAGACCAATATTTTGACCACACAAAATTGAGCATTCAACTGGAAAATTGTATATTCTCCTTTAAATATGGTAGGTAGTAATTATTCTTGGAAAGCACTATGTAAGATGTCAAAATACGTTTCAAAGGAAAGCAAAATACTCTTATTTCTTATCTTTTAGCACTAGGAGATACTGATCTTGGATGTCCTGTCATTTCCATACAGAGACAATCAATCCTTATCTATGTCTGAACCACACCATTCAGTTCTTCAGCTTCAGAAGATTATTTGGTTTTCATGAAGTCTTCACTTGGAAGCAGAAACTGGTCTGTATATTTATCTATCCTTTTTTACATGCAGGCATAGTTTTCATGACAAATATATGCCTTTATTGGACAATAATAGAGAGTTTTATAAAAAAGAGCCAAAAAACACTGATTAATGAGACTACAGATAACTCAAAAATGCCCCTTTCCTCTGAAATTTGATTTCTGAAGTTCATAAAATCACAATTTATTTTCAACAAAATTTAAAAAATGCAAAACATGCAAAGACGACTTGAAACTGAGGATGCATTTTTAGTAAAAAATGAATCACAGTAACAAAATACTAGAAACACAATATTCCCATAAATTATTGGAGTGTTTCTAAATGTTAGTTGTCCAAATTTTGGCAGAAAGTTTTATTATCCCAGCACACCATCCCCCATATATTTTACTGAAAGGTTCCTTTAAAAAAACCAAACAAGTGAAACATCTGTGTATCTCATACAACTCAGCAATGAATACTACCTAGTGACAGAAAACCTAGAACTTTCTATTGCACTCCATGTGGCTTATGCAGAAAGTGGAAAAATTTGTCATTTGAAAAAACTACTTACGTTGACCTAAGAGAACCTCAAAGACTGCATGAAGTTCAGAAATGTTTAATTCCTCTCACCCAACATCAAATATGCCTGAGTTGATCCTAAAAGAGGACCACTGAAAACAAATGGGGTGTTCTTTTTCATTTTGCTTGCAGTGGTTTTGGGTAGTTTGTAAGACTTACGCTAAGCACCAGAAACCCTGCATTTAATTCGAATGTTGATTTGTTTTCACTGATGTTCCTCGTGCTCCATTTTCTCCTTAAAAGAAATCTGTCTAATTTCCCACCCAGCTGAGACCCCAGGAGAAGAGAATGAGAGCTAACTATAAAAATCTACCTATATCCTCCTTTGTAATGTCTGTTCCATTTCATGTCATTAGGATTAAGAATTTTTATCAAGCTTAAAAAAACTCCAAGCTGCTCTTCAGGTGTTATTTATTGCTTCTAGAGCATGAATGTTGACTCCTACACTCTACGTGCTTCTTGGATGTTTTTTAGTTTTTGTTTTGTCTGTCCCCTGTTAAAGTGCACAACATCCAACATGAAATAAAATGTGTACATTTAATGGAAATGACTTGCACATTAACTCGCACATTTACTCCATGTTCCTTGAACCTCCAAGGTAGAGATCTAATTAAAAAAACTAAAGGGCTTAATTGATGACTACAAATGACTTTACAAATAAATAACACTGTGTTCTTCCTAAACTCCTGTTGCTGCTCTTCTTAATGCAGTCAATAGGATTTCTACAGTTAACAAAAGCAAGTCAGAAAAGATATTCCACATCTTCATTCTAACCCATTATTTTTTGATAACCCACACTGAAAGAAGAAGCCTTGTTCATTTTTGCAGTTTAACCCCAGCTGGCAACTAAGTACCTCTCAGCTGCTTGTTTACTCTACCCTCCTCCCCACTAAAAAAAAAATAATTAAAACTTGTGGGCTGAGATAAGAATGGTTTGATAATTGAAATAAAATATTATTAGTAATAATAATAGTGATAATAGTAGTGAAAAGGGGAGAAAGAGAGAGAGGAATAAAACTCAGGAGAAACAAATGATCAAATGATACAATTGCTTACTAGCTGATCCATGCCCAGCCCCCCCCACCCAAACCACAGTAAGTCCCTCCCAGCCAACTCCCTCCAGTTCATGTACTGGGCATGGTGTTCCATGGCATGAAATTACCCTTCAGCTCATTCAGATCAGCTGTCCTGGCCATGCTCCCTCCCAGCTTCTTGTGCAGCTCCTCACTGGCAGAGCATGGGAAACTGTAAAGTCCTTGACTTTGCAACAACTAAAACATCACTGTGTTATCAACATTATTCTTATACTACATTCAAAATGCATCACTGTACCATTCTCTAAGAAGAAATTTAACTCTGTTCCAAGCAAAACTGTGACACAGGCCCAGCTGCAAGCAAAGACACAGCAAAATATTTCCTCACTCTGACAAACAACAACTTATTCCTGTATTATAAATCTGCAAAGCATCTAAGCAACTTGATAAAGACCTTGAAGATCCTTGGAAGGACTAGTTGGATGGGAAGTGCTGAAGCATGATGTACACGCTTGAACAGCATAGCCAGCTACTTAGGAAAAGCCCAAGTATACAAACAGCAAGAACTCTGCTCTCCATTCCAAATACAGGAAAACAAACGACCACAAGTAATCAACAGAGTGGCTAATATGCTAGGTTACCTAAGAACATAAAAACTATTATATTGAATCCAATGTTTGTCTAGTTCAGAGTTTGCTGGGTAAGAATATACAGCTATAGAAAGAAAATATTCTGATTTCACATATAATACATACTGTTGTACGCAATGGCACTTCTGCTGAAGTTTATCCCAGCTCTCAACTATGTGCACTAAGGACTTCTTAATCACTGCTGAAAATTTTGGGTTAAACAGCCAATGGACATTTAATCTGCAACATTTTTTATACATTCTGGTTCTCACAAGTTTTCCTATCAAATAAGTTGTGTTATGTAAAAAAGTAATTAATGCTGTTTAATTGTCATGAGTGATAATTTGTCAATGCTCTTTGATTTTTGTATTGTACAGTAAATAATCCTTTTCTATTCCTCCTTTTCTTGTCGTTTATGATGGACATCATCAAACTCAGTCATCATTTTTCAACCCATGTATTCTGCTTTATTTAATCTCTCCTTTTCTCCTACTTCAAGAATCTATCCCCTTTCTTTGATGATCCTTGCTGTATTTATTGTATCCTTTCTTGATATACCATTTTTTTAAAGAAATGTAAGAACCAGAACTCTAGACAGTATTCCAGGAAAAGAATCACATCTGTATACAATGACACAGTAATTATTTTTTTCTCTTTCCTCATCAATTCTTAAGATCCTCTTCAACTTTTCCAATAATTTTGCTAAATTTAATTTACATATTATTACCCAGTCTTATATAGTCTTTCACATCTTTCATCATTATGGAAGCTTTTTGTACTACTATGGGTAATTTTGTGCCATTGGCAAACCTAGTCATGTAATTATTTGTCTCCTATAGCTCATTAATTATGAATACAATCCCTTTCTTTAGAGAAACAAAAGGTTCTTTCAAGTGTTCAAATCAGGTGCATTTTATCCTTTTCACTGCTATTTCTCCTAGAAATATTTCTCCTAGAAATTTTCTCCTAGAAATTAGAAAGGTTATTATGTAGCTTCTCTTCTTAGGATTAGTACTGTGGACATTTTTTGAGGTATTTGCTAACATGCGGATTTTGAATTTGATTATGCTCAGATGACTGTAATAGAATTGTAATTTCATAATAAAATTTTAACTCAGGTGCTATTCAAATCAATATTGGTCCAGAGTTACCTGTTCACTTGTGTTTTCTCTAAGAAAGATAGAAACAAAAAGTTCATGCTGTATATTATGCCATGTAATTGCATTTATTAGGTCAATATGGGCAGGACAGAAGTCTCCAACTATTATCTATCTTTCTATATAAAATCTGTAACCTGTTTAATATGCCACTCACAGTTCCTATCTAGGCTGGCTGGTGAATAATTTGGCTTCAATAGGATGAGTTGCCTATCTAAACATATAATTGAAATCAATATAATTTTACTAATTGATAAAGAAAATATATTTATTTTGAGAGTTTTCAAAATATTTAGAACCATTTTTCCACTGGCATCATCTATTTATCTATATTTATGTACCTTTACTTACATACAATCTATGTTTATTTAATGTACAATCCCTATTGTACATTAAATAGAAACAATATCCTACATGTTACCTTCCTCCTATCACATAAAAAAATTATCGTTTTTAGCTTCTCTTCCAAAATCAGGCATTCCACTTCATCCAACATTTAAAAAAACCATCTGATATTTGTATAAAACACATACTTGGGCTTCATTTGTTTGTTTTTTTTGTTATATCCTACCTAAATATAACTGTTTGCCTCTTCTATTTCCTATCTACAGTATGTTGACCTCCATCTGTTCTTCATGTGAGGTTAAACAAAACCCCTCACACTATTTTACCTTTAAAGGAATTACCCTGAACTGCGTGCTCTCCTCTATGGCAGTTTCCTCCCACAAACTTTGAAGAAGATGACAAAGCAGTTCTTACATGGAAATACCAAAGGGTAAGACGCTTGCAGTACTGATGTTTCCTTTTACCTCTGATTGGAACCAATTCTTCCCATAGGCTCATTTTTCTCAGGTAATCCACTTTCCTAATTGTATTACATTTCTGTTGCCATTCCCCCTGCCCCAGCCATTGAAAGGTTGAAGTCTCAGGCTATGTATCTTTATTTTGCATATGAGTTTAAAAATATTTCACAGTAAGTTTTGCTTCCTAACAATTTTAATTTTGGGCTATATCTTCACAAGAAATCTTCTCCCTGAATATATTTTCCCTGACTATCTCCGTATTATTTTTATCCATGTGTGCCCTGGTCACTTGTCACATCTGCATGACTGCTATAGGCATTAAGACGTTCCCACTAACTGAGTTCTCCAGTGCTGTAGTTCCTATTCTTTCTTCCTGTTTTCTGGGATCCCAATTCTAAAGGGATTGCTTCAATGTGAAAGCAATGAGTTAGGGAAATCTCATCTATGGAACCACTTCCATCCTTCCAAATTCTCTGATAGTACCAATAGTATCAGGGCTGCAAAGGGAACAGAATAGAATGGCTCAACTGTATTTCTGAAAATTTCATGAGTGATACCACTCTGTCTCTGGAGCTCCTTCTCTTTAGTCACCATGGACACAGGAGATAGCATTCTGTGTCTGAAGACCATGAGCTGTCTGCCCATAAACACGCACAAGCTACCCCCCATAAAGAAACAATACTAAGTGACAATGCCTACAAAGGAAACTGGCAAGCCCCATTTAATTTGAATTCCCATGTTACAACTACTGACTTTTTTATTTGGGATTTTTGGTTTTGGCAAAGAGAAGATAAGAACTTGGTTTGGTCTATTATTGAGTAGGTAAAACTAAATATTGAAAATATACTGATTTTGGGGCAAGGTGGTGGGTGGGTTGTAATGCCTTTTTTTTCCTCTCTTAGTCAAGCAAGAAATTAGTCCCAGAGCTTCCATTTCTCCCTGTAGCCAAAGTCCTCAGTTTCAGGGCATGCTCCATGCTAGGACTCCATGTACTCGACAGGCTTTGATTAGTGGTCCTAGATTTGTACTTGTGTATCTCTGCCTGTGAGGTTTCAGCCACTCACTTCACAATTAATTAGGCTGTTGTCTTCTGTTTCTCTAATGGGGATTATTAAGCAAAGGCAAGCTGCCACAGCATCTTTCATGAAGACTGCACAAAAGAGGTAGTACAACCTCTTTTCCAGATGAAATCATATAGTAAGATTTGGCATTGAGACTTCTAATTTAAACTTGAAAATTTGCTTTAGACTACAATTTAGACTTTCTGAAACTCATCTTATAGAAACAAAATGCCTAGCAATATTTTTGCTAACAGTCAGCAGTTAGACACAGATACGATGGTATACACTTGGATATTTTAAGATGGCTTACTTAATGGAAAAAGAACATTTCAAACATACCACATTCACTGGCTGATTCCCCCACCAACTGGAAAAACTGTTGAGCAATTTTCAGATGATCTCTCTGGAAGATGAATAAAAAATAAATCCAAGATGAGTTACAGGGGTGATGCTACAATACACAGTGAAAATAATGCTCTGAGGAACACCTGGGGAGGAACTAACAGATAAACCAGAGCTGAAGCAAAAACAGAAAAGGTAAATGTGCCACTCTATGTGCCTAGATAAAGAAGAACACTGTACAAAGCAAATGGAGATTTTGGAAGCAGGATAGAGAAATCAAATTCATCTTGATTTACAACAAGACCACCAACAGAAATTTGCATTTCACTCATTCTGGAATGATTATTGCACAGAAGGAGGTTAAGAGACTCAGAAATCCTGCAATCTAAATAAAAAATGACTGCCTCTTTCACTCCATTCCAGTTTCTACAGATCTGCTCACATTGTATTGTTGGAGAAGCCGGAGAACCTCACGGGCATTACTCACCGAGCCCATTTCTTGTCCAAGTGCTGCATTTACCACCCCTTTGAGGATGTACTCCTGGAAAAAAGAAAAAAAGTTAAAAGGGATCAGAGAAGACATGGTGAAGATTTCAGAAGACACATAAAAGCCTATGTGTACATTATTTTCTTTATTAATTCAACTCTATCACAACTGACTTTAGTAGGTAGCTGGTTACTGTGTGGTGCTTAAATGCAGTATTAATTTATTCCCCCAAAATACATTTTACTTGCTAGGTAGTCACTTCTACGAAATATGTTAGATGCAGAGGGGTATAGTGTTTTCTGCTAAGTTTTATGGTCAAAGACAATGCACCAAGAGGAATATGGTAACATACTTTCATGCCCTCTTCCACATCATATCACCAAGAAGTGCACTATTGTTATATTAAAGCACAGATCCCCTTTCAAATACGCACATTGGTTAACCATAACCACTGACATTGCTGCTGCAAAATTCATAGTGTTTCTCATCAGGACAAATATGTCAAGAGGTCTGTGCTCTGTGGCCATGTTACTCTAGTGAAATTAGGAACAGAAGTTGAGTAGCCTGTAATCTCTAGTATGAGAAACTACAGTTTAATTCTTCTCTGAACAAATTTTTCTTAGCATGTAACAGACTCTTTTGTCCTACCCAAATCTTATAATTAAGAGTTATATCTATAAATCTATTTTAGTAGGTACTCCTGATAAACCAGGACAGCTCTGTCACAGAGGAAAACACAGAAGAAGAGACATCTTTCAAGAGACCAACAACAGAATGTACAGAAGGAATCTGAGAGCACTAGCCAGGATAGTAAGTAATCGTTTCAGCACATAAACTGTGTTACAGACGCCTAATTATTATCCTACAGGCATTGAGACAAAGAAGAAATTTGAGAAATACTTAAGAAGGTTTTAGAAGTAGTTTTGCAAGTCCTAGCAGGGAGTTCCTTACAAGTGGGAGTCAGAAATGGAAAAAAAGAAAGCACAAAGATTCTAATTCCAAAATGTGATCAAGAATTATTAGCCAAGTATACTGAGACAACAAAGACCACAAAAGGACCAATAGCTGCAGAAAACTTTTCAAGTTAAGTTTTGCTATACTGAAAAATGCAAGAAGTGTAAAGCAACATCAGAAGACACTCCTCACTCCTCAGCACAGAATCACCGGATCTGTGTTTTTGAGGTTTTCCTTTTCCTTCCCTCCCTC